CAACAGAACCCGATTCCTATTATTGCTTTTACAAACGGACGCCGAATTTTAAGCTCTTGTCAAAGCATCGCCGCCAAAGATTACATAAGCAAAAAATCTATTGATTGTTGTTCGCTTATTTAAGTTAGTGTGAGAAACCGCTTTGAACACTTTTTTTAAAGATTGTATGTGCTCTTTTCGTTATGAATGTGGGTATGTATACAAAATAAGAAATGATAAGTGTGTTCGGTAATAATTAATCACTTTTAATAGTACATAATATTCATAAAGTAAATAATGATACCACTCATATCGTTAAAATTTTATTTAACTGTATCTATAGAGTAAAGAGATTATTAGGTATATGATAATTTATTTAAACATAATATAATCCAATGACAATTTATACAATAAAATAAAAACTACATATTATTCAATAATGAATGAATTAATTAATAAGGAGATTCTATCAAACATTTATCTAAGTGCATAAAAATCTTCAAAGTTTTGGCCTTTGGCGCTGTTTAATATTCACGATTAGTTCAAAAATTTATTAACTGTAATGTAATATTCTTGTAATAAGTATTAATTTAGATATTATACACCTGATATTTTTGATATAGCAACGACAATTGCTAAACAAAACGTGGAATCTATGATTTCGTCGGGTAATTAAATAACACTATCACGCTAGAAGTCCGTAGTTAGGTTAAATCTCAATGTATGGTAAATGTTGAAGTTTAGGAAAATATAATACGGTAACTATCTACTAACTTAGGTATTAAAAGCTTAGCTTGAAATACTAGGTAGTACTATAATAGTAATACAGTATAATATACCTATTATCGAAGGTGGTACGTAAAAAGTACGATGAAAGAATATAACCAAAACCAATAGGTAATAGCGCACTGAATCTTCTGACTTCCTATTTACACGGAAGAACTCAGAAGGTTGAAGTGAATGGTAAGAGGTCCTCTGGGTCGGCAGTAGATATGGGGGTACCACAGGGCTCAATTCTTGGCCCTTTCCTCTTTCTTGTTTATATAAATGATCTACCTTTCATGGTAGAGAGAAAACATCAGATAGTTTTGTTTGCTGATGACACGTCCTTGATTTTTAAAATCAAACGACAAGTAACAAATTTTGACGATGTGAACAATGCTCTATCTTCGATTGTCCATTGGTTTGGTATGAATAACTTTCTACTTAATGCAAAAAAGACAAAATGCATTAAATTTTGTGCAAAAAATGTGAGGGGGATGGATACTAGACCAATTATAAACGGTGAGGAATTGAATCTGGATGATACAACTGTATTTCTCGGCATTACCATGGATTCAAAACTTCAGTGGTCCCCTCATATTAACGGATTGGCGAAGAGACTTAGTTCTGCAGCCTACGCGGTTAAAAAAATTCGCTCACTAACTGATGTCGATACAGCTAGATTTGATTATTTTAGTTACTTTCATAGCTTAATGACTTATGGCTTATTATTATGGGGTCATGCTGCTGATGTCGAAACTATTTTCATCCTGCAGAAGAGGGCTATTCGTGCAATCTATAATTTGTAATAAGTGATATATATTAACATAGCAATAAAAGCTGTTCAAATTAAAGAAATATTTTAAAACTCGTTTGAGACAATAAGAGGAGTTTTAAGGCTGGTTAAAATTGTGTTGAACAGTTACTAAACGCCTGATCATTTTTAAACAGTTTTTACTTATTTGGTTTACCCTATTTTGTTATCACGTATAAATAAAATAACAACCTTAATAAAAATTAATTGATTCTGACTAAAGTTAAAAAAAGAAGAGGTTATTATTCGACGTGTATTTTTTAATGTTCCAGCTTAACTCCGCCATACCAGGGCCGATCTGAATGATGATGATGATGATAATATTATAATCGGCTTGATAGTTTTTCATTCGACCACACCGAATCTCTTCTGTGATAATAAATGAAGTACAACTTAATATCCCAAGACGCAAAATGCTATGACGTAATAGTAGCTTCCAGAGCTTCAAGCAATAATCTTATAATAAGAATCAGGATAAGATTCAGAACCTAGTCGTAGCGCTAAGTCTGACACCCGTCCGTCTAAAATCTCTTGGAGTCTTAGTTCGTGCTAAATCTTGATTCTGAATCTTTCCATTACAACTAAGATACAACACTAAACCAATCAATCAATAAAACAGTTCAATCACCTTGTCATTCTAATGTGACCAATAAAAATTGTTAATCTACCTAATGTTTGTAAACATTTGTTAGATTAATTGAACGAAATTTTGGTGTGTCTATCTACAAGATCTTAGATATAGCAAAAGTAAGAACAAATGAAATTTAACATTTAGAGCAAGTATTTGACAATCACTCGTTTTTTGACTGGGCGTCGCAACGCATTTATCAAATACTAGCGGACCTGACAGACGTTGTCCTGCATGATATTTCAAGCGATTAGTATGTTTAACAAAGTATGATAGTATCAGTACTATCATACGCTGCAGTCAGTGCAGCGCCATCTGCTGGGCTGATTTGTGAATCTAAACCATCCAGGGCGTCACCCAAATGCATACAAAAAAAATCATTCAAATCGGTCCAGACGTTTAAGAGGAGTTCAGTGACATACACAAGTTCAGCAGAATTATATATATTGGCGTAAACAAAAAGTCATGATTTGAGAAAATTTTATATCGTATAACTTAATATTATCTTCAATACACCCAATAAACAACCATAAATAGCATGTCTAACGAAAGGACTCGACAGTACCAATCTAGTCAATTTTTTCTTTCTTTTCTTTTTCAAAGATTTCCTGCGAAAGAAACGAAATATTCTATGAAATAAAACAAAGTTTAGGCTATTATACCTGTTAACTATTCGGAAAAAATATATAATAGAAATAAAAATTAGTAATTGCATGAAGTATCAAAACTATCTAATGGTAGGGGAGCCCACGATGCTAAATGGGGATTTACTCGAGCGTCGTAGAGACCTATTGGGATACAAAGCTTAGATAAAAAGAAGAAAAAAATGTTACATGATAAATTCCTTTTCATCGGTGGGGGAAGCGGCTATAGATAGTTAAATATGTAAAAAAAACTGTTGCATGGACATCCTCGAGCGCGTCAGATATTGATAGCATCTATGCCCTACGTATTTTTAATAATGTACGTATGTTAATCTGATCGTTTGCATGATGCGGGTGGTTGTATTTAAGGGTTGAAAATTAAAAAAAAAAAAAATTTATCGAGCGCGTCAGATTTTCTAAGGGAGTGTTAAGTGCACCAAAAAAAATCTCTCATTCACTAATCTGACGATTTCGATGGGACGCAAACCCACAGCCATTTTCTTAATTTGCAAAAAAAATCGCAATTTTGAAATACTCAAGCGCGTCAGATTAAGATATATGTGGTTCATCTTTATGTTCTAAACGTACTGTCTCATAATCTGACGATTATCTAGAGGGATTCGCCTGATCTGACAAAAAAAAATAGAAAAACGGTTCACCTAAAGGGCCATCCCTGCAACTTCCCGCTAATTCCATTCCTGGGCGCTTAAAATTGATATTTTGAGCTCGCTGAGTTCAAAGAAATAACATTTCTATGCATTTGAGCTCTCCCAGCTCGAAAGTCTGATAGAAGTTTCATAGAAAACTATTTTTGGAATTTTCAAACCGCAATAACTTTTGAATGGATCAAGCAATTTTCACGCGGTTGGCGGCATTCGACGCAGTTTTATCATTCTCATAAGTAATTTTGCAATTTTAATTGATCGAACCACAAATTTCGGAGTAATCCCGAAAAAACACTTTTTCGGGTTTCTTTCATGTACGATATCTCTCGAACGAATCAACCGCTTTTGACCAGCTTGGTGGCGATCGACGTGGTTTTTCAAGCTCAAAGGCGGATTAGTTTTTGAAGTTGATCGATAAAGAAACCACTTAAAAAAAAATATTTCTTATTTTTTTAAGATTTTTCAAAATTTCTCAAAATCTATCGGTCCGAATCGGTTCAAATTCACAGGAAATGTAATTTTGAGGGAAATATTTTGAACGCCGTTTAGTAGATTCCGATCGGTTTAAGGAAATGTAGGCATCACGCAGCTTGTTATTTCGGCTTGCGGAAATCGTCAGATTATATATTTTTCATTATTCTGGAATTATTTCCTTCAAAATAAAAGAAAAATTAGCTACGCTCGAGAATGTCGAGATGACGTTTTTTTTTTACAACTTTGTTGCCCTCCCCTTTTTTCCGTCACTCTCAAATTGTCAGATTAGTGGAATATACACTTTTTAGGATGTAATTAACTCACCCTACCTTAATCTGACGCGCTCGGGAATTTCTGATGGTCAATTTTTTTTTACTAATCTGATCCTGTCTCCTTCACGCGCGGCCTTATATATGGGCCACATATTTTGTGGAGGTACTTAACCGGGTACAAGGTATCCCCTATATAGTAATCTGCCGCGCTTTAGTAAATCCCGAAATCCCCTCTTGGGCTCCCCTATCTAATAAATCATACTTACGGCTAACCTAAGATATTCAATGACATTCTGTGTTGCCATCCAAAAGTTTTCAAATAATTCAATTATCTTCTTTCATTAGCCAGACTCTATATTTTTATCTTCTTTTTACGCATTAGAATGGTGTTAAGCATCAAGAACCAATATAATTCTTCAATTGCTATTTTAGTGCGGTTTCTTATTTTAAGTTTTCTAAGCTTTAGTTTTCGGGTTTCAGCCTAATCTGATGTAATTTAATTGTCAGTTTGCGCTGTCATTTTATTGTCAATTTTGTTGTTCTTTTATGTCATCATGAAGATGTCATAAATCATAGTACTCGCTTCGTCATAATAATATAAATGTCACTCAATAGTCTGTAGTCATTACTCAATACTCATTAGTCAAAGCGTTTTGAATTTGAAAAACTTGAACTTGACTTACGTTTTACCGAAAAAGCACAATAATAAACTTGAAAATACGGACATAGATGAACAAAATTTGATTAGATTGTGGTGATAAAATGCAAAGTACAATAAAAGAGATTTTAGACTCTTTAGGGTATGCATTTCAATGCATATTGATTACAACGTACTGTTATTGTATTTTTAAACAAATTTTGCCTCCTATATTTCAGGTGTAATTTAGAAGTAGATACAGTATCAAACTTTTTACTAAATGATCCAAATTACGGCATCAATGTTATTTCAAACAAACAAGCAAATGAATATGCACAAAGGCTGGCATTAAAAGCTTCCAACTCGAAAATATTTTTAAAAAAATATGAAGAGCTTAGAAACCGCAAGTTAGTAAACTTTTATTGCTCGAGCTTTCCAGTTTATTATAAAAAATATATTTTATTTCACAAAACTTGAATAAAATCCAGATAAAAGTTTTCTAACTATATTAATATAAATTTTTCAATAACTTTCAGTGTTGAAAATTTGTCAAACATAATAGTAATATGCTACAAATTACTGTGCGATGACAAAAAATTTAAAACATCTAAACCAAAAGTTGCTCCTAAACCAGCAATAGGAGACAATAAACATCAAATTACCAAAGATGATTTACCCCAGGTAATTGCACATTTTGTGTTATATAATAATTAATAATAATCTCACTTCAACATTGTAATATTTGTTTCTTTTATCATTTGCTGTATGTGCTAGCCTTCCATCCCTGTCACAAATTGTTGAGTTTTGGGACTAACACATGCCAGTTCCCGCAAAATATTAAACTTCACTGCACAAGCAAGTGTTGTGCATTTAAAGTTGATCTTCATGTACAAATCGAACTTTCAGATAAAGGATAAACTCCTCAAAGCTGTTGATGAAAGTAAAAAGCTTGTCATGAAGTCATTTGAAGAAAAAGAGGTTAAGCTTATGCCAAATTGGTATAATAGTTTAGATTTGCCTAATTGGCAAAAAGAACATCCTTTTATGTCCTGGGACTTTCCAAAAGAGCCTTTACATATTGTAGCCTCATTGGGTAAGAAATTAATATACATTTTCAATTCTAAGTATTCATAAAAATAAATCAGTCTAATTGCATCATTTCAAAGGCCTTTTTTGTTTATTTCTATCAATTGTGTATTGTGTTTATACAGTGATGATTAGACTGATGAGTACCTTTCTTAAAATGGTACTGGACTAGTTGATTCCAGGAACTCAATCAACAAGATCAAGAACATCTGTTCTTTAAGTTTATACCTCAATTAACATTATACTGGTTTTCAATTTTGCAAAATTGGTTACAGTGAATATCACAAAATTGATCTAAAAAATGACCATAAACCTGTAATTCTACTGTCTCATACAGTGGTACCGCAATGTACGAGTGCTCTAATATACTAGTGTTTTGAGATATGAAACACAGCTGAGCGAGCAATGTTTTGCTTTGAGATGCGAGCAAGATTTGAGATATGAGAAATCGCACACTACACTAACGGTTTCTCCCATCTCAGTCTGTTTGCTGGTTTCCCTCGTTTTCACAGCATTTCAGTTAGGTTTGCGGTTTTTTGCCTTTTTTGTTTTATTTAAGTATTTTTTTTCAGCTGGTATACCGGTCCTCTCTCAAGAAAACATCATAATTGATGAACTTCTTTATGTATTTACTGGTGTTCCTGGGAATTACATAGTCCATAAACCAGTGAAAGATGTGTATGAACCAAGACAATTTATAATAGCTGATGATTTGGACGATGCTTTGAAGCAAATAGTTCAGCAGATGTTACCAGTTGCATCAAATTACTCAATTGTGAGAAGATTTATTGAAAACTGTGATATGTGGTCTGGGCAGGTCCTACATGCACTTGTTGCTGCTATAGAGATTCTATTAAAGGATTATTATGTGAGTAATTATTATCACATTTCTTGAAATGGATTCGATTAACTTGGTAGTTTATATGTGTGTTGCCTTCTCAAATTAGAAATGTCTTGCCATGCACATTGGCTGATTAGGCGATTATGGGAAATTAAACATCTATTATAACAGCTATCCCTTACAGATGAGACAGTAACTTGCAAATCAATTGCTAAATGGCACAACAAATTACTTTCGTTGTAAAAAAATATGAATGTTTAGTACTTCCGTAAACCAAAGGCAATATTGAACATGTCGCGCTTGATCAAGCATCTTTGTGTTGATTATTACTTGAAAACCGTAGTCAATTTACTTCCATTTTCCCAAGACAAAAAAAATGTTGTTTCTACTCATAACATAAGTCTTTGTGTGCAGTGTATTTATTAGTTTTTAATTTCCTATTGGAATTATATGGTTGTAAATATTTTAAATATGACAAAAAAGCGGCTTAAGCGTGCTACTCTCATCCCTGAGGTCGTAGGTTCGATTCCCAGCCGTGCATCAATAGACTTCCTATGTGCGCATTTAACATTCGCTTGAACGGTGAAGGAAAACATCGTGTTGAAACAGGCTTGCCTTAGACCTAAAAAGTCGACGACGTGTGTAAGGCACAGGAGACTTATCAGCTACTTGCCTATAAGACATATGATCATGAAACACATTCAGAAATCTGAGGCCCAGACCTAAAAAGGTTGTAACGCCACAATTATTTTTTGTTTTTTATAGTTATTAGCTTTAACATGATTAAAGCTAATCTAAGAAATGACTGCTGTGTAGTCCCTTTACTGATGAAAGCTGTAACATCACACTATTACTGAATTAAAATGAGTGAAAGTGTAACATATTAAAATGATTTCTTTGCAAACTAGAAGACAATAAATAATTCAATAGTTACATATTATACATGCTAAAATATGTTTTTCGATATTTCAGACTATGATAGCACAACTAGAAACAGAGCACATGACTGGTGGTTTGACCCTGCAAAAGTTATGGTATTTTGTTTTACCGACCATGCATACCATGCAAGTTCTAGCATCTATTGTGACCAACATTGGCAAGGTATGTTCCCTAATCATTCTTTATTTCGGCAAATTTTGATTGATTCACTAATATATCTATAGTAGTATATATTTTTTTAAATGTTGTACTGTTCACTTTTTACATATGTTTTTATTGCTTTATTTTATTTCATTCGTTTTTATCTATATGCATTATGTATATTTGCACTTCTTGCGCTTGCCCTATCTAATTTTTTTTTCACTTTGCTTGTCTGGAAGAGATCGTTCGAAAGCGATAAGGCCGCCAGTTGCCCTCTTTTTTTTATTAAATTATGTCAACTGTATTATATTTCTGTATGCTAAGTGTTAATAAATAAATATATCAAAACTTGATATAATATGTATCAATGTTTGATTTACATTGATATTATATGATAAGAAATAGAAATACGTAGACAATATGATAATCATAGTGGTTTCGTTAATTTTATCAGTTGCCGGTGCTTCGTTTTTTTTTAAATGAGGCAAACGAGCAGGAGGCTCACCTAATGTTAAGTGATATCTCCGCCCATGGGCACTCACACTACCACAAGGTCTTATGAAAATAGGCCTGTAGGTTAACTGAGAAATAATAAAGTCAGATTGTAAGCTGTATTGTTATTGTTTGGCTTAAAAACAATTGTTTTAGAGCGAACTCCGCGGTGGTGCAGTATTGACAGTACTTCATGAGAAGACAAGTACATTAATGGGTGATGCGCGTGCGCAAGAAATAGCTCTTTTCCTTACAGAACGCGCTTGCCGCCCTTACCTCGATATATTGGATAGATGGATACATAAGGGCAGTGTTAACGATCCCTTCCATGTAAGTATTTTTAGAATAATTCAGGAGCTACTAAAATGTTTATATCTAATATATAAAATTCTCGTGTCATAATGTTCGTTCCCATAGTCCTCCGAAACGGCTCGACAGATTCTTATGAATTTTTTATGCATTTTCAGTAAGTCTGAGAATCGGCTACTATCTATATTTCAAACCCCTAAGTAATAAAGGCTGTCCACCCCAATTTTTTTTATGATACAGCATACAATCTAATTTTCACTCCTCTAAGATCAACCCCTATTTTTTAATATAGTAGATAGTTACTTTTATTGAACTAAAAAATGTTTCCTAGAAATAATGTAGTTAGAAATAATGGCAAACCAACGTTTGCGGGCCAGCTAGTATCTTTATATATATATTTCCACTGGCTAAAGGGCTGGACCGATTTGAATGAAATTTTTGTATACTTTTGGGTCGCACCCTGAATGGTTTACATTCACAAATCAGCCCGGTAGATGGCGCTGCAGTCAGTATTTAGGTTTAGTTATCTATACAGCAAATAAACAGCTGGTGTATATATATATAAATATTCAGTGCATGTGTTCGTAATTAAACTTCTAAACGGCTGGACAGATTTTGATGAAATTGTTAAAGTTACAATTAAAATTTAGAATCATCATCAGGTAATTGTATAATAATTATTTTTTATATTATAATATTTATTATTAATAATTTTTTCAGGAATTCATGATCGAAGACAACGAATTGATAAACAAAGAAGAGTTACCTTTGGACTACTCAGCTGACTACTGGGAGAAGAGATATAGCAGTCAGAGAGACAGAGTTCCAAAATTTCTTGACAAGTTTACTGATATTATTCTACGGACGGGAAAATACCTCAACGTTATTAGCCAATGCGGTAAGCATCATAAATATTCAAATTCAAAAATCATTTATTCATATAGGTAACACAATGTACACTTATGATCGTCAAAAAAAAATGTATATGAAATGCTCTTAACTTTACATTCAGTGCCAGTTCTCAAATCAAGGGCGTAGAACGGAAGAGAAGAACTGGCAATAAACTCTCCGCCACTCTTTTTAATTGCCATTTTTTTACACAACGTTTGTAAGCAGCTGCAACCATTACACCATCTTCCGCATGACATCTTAAGTAATTAATAATAACATAAATTAAGAACAAAGATTTGTCCTCTATCAGCAGGAGGCATGGTGAAATAGGAGCACGCACTTACGTTCTCGTGGGAACAACTCGCAAATATATAGTCGAAATTGACTTTATTTATTCTGATAAAGTAAACACAATTCAGATGATATATAAGATAGGATAGCTTACATCTCAATTTATACCCGCAATATTATTTTATTGCAAAATATTTGTTTATTATTTGATAGCATTGATATACAAAAAACCCAAGATGCACAGTCTCGAATAAAAGTAACGCTCGAAAGTGTCCCGAAACACTATTTCTGTCCCTTTCTATAACAGTATGTCTATAACAGTATATGTTACAAGCATATATTATTGCAAAATCAACCTTACGCGAATTGCTTAAAGTTGTTATTACAACGCAGTTTATACGTACTTAAAGCAATAAAATTTTACGACCGACCGTGGTCGGTAGGACAAGGTATTGAGTGGAGTCGAACATGACTTTTTTATTTACAACTATTTAACATAATTTTAAATTTATCCGACTTTTCGGGTGCTTTACAGCGTGCGTGGTCACAGTGACTGAAGACAAAAGGTGTTGGATGTTAAATAGTTGTAAATTTATAATAATACATAACTTTAATCCGGTTAAAAAGTATTTTCTTTAAATTAAAAAAAATATGTTAAATTGGCTACCTAATGACCTACACTTTATATAGCGTAAATATATTTGTCAAAAACTACACACAAAAAAGTTCAAAAGTACATAAATTTATTTATAAAAAAAAAACACAAATAAATAACATCGACTCCACTTATTACACGCGAGACTATTTGAAATGAGCGCACAATTTAGAATGTTGCGCTCATTTTTGAGGACGTGTTTTAGACGTTGGTTGTGCATCTTGGGTTTTTGTATATCAATGTTTGATAGTCACAATTCTAACAGATAGCGCTGTGTTGAAAGTACCAACGTTTCACATAAGCTACAATTTAATGGCATAACCACCAAAAAAGCATGGTCCTCATGACTGGTGTTCTCCTACCGTTTCCCTTAAATAGTTTACTACTATGTAATATAACAAAAACCTTAGCCACAGCAACGCTTGGCCGGTCTGCTAATATGTATATATATTTTATTCAATCAGGGAAGTCAATAACAAAAACGAATACAGAAGAGATTAAATACTCTCTACGTGAACAAAACTACGGGGCGATCATACAACGGGCGTATTCGTACGCGAGCAAATCCTTATTGGAACTACTTCTAAAGGAATACGACCTCATGGGGAGATTGAAATCTGTGAAAAATTACTTTTTGATGAGCCAAGGAGACTTTATTGTTCAGTTCATGGATGCAACAGAGCAAGAGTTGTCGAAGAAGATAGATGATATTATACCGTCGAAGCTGGAGTCGTTGCTTGGACTCTGTTTGCGGTATGTTTTAAATCTATAATGTGGGTAGGCACAAAAGTTCTTGCATTCAAAATTGAGTTACTAAGTTTTAGTAACTCAATTTTGAGTTTTAGTCATGACGTAAAAATGAGTTAAATTAATTTAGTTTAACCCAATACCTGTTAAAAACCTTGGGGTCTTCTTCGACCAAACGTTTTCCTGGGGTCATCACGTAAAGGAGATCAGCCGTAAACTTTACGCCGCTTCTTTTACTCTGAAACGTCTTTCTAATTTCCTTCCTATCCGCACTAAAACTATGTTAGCGCAGTCTCTTCTGCTTCCAATTCTCGATTATGCGGACTCATGCTCCTCTGATTTGAACGAAGAGCTACTTGACAAGATCGAACGCCTGCAGAATTTCTGCATACGTTTCATATTTGGTCTTAGAAAATATGACCATGTGTCTAAATTCCGCAGGCAGCTGGGGTGGCTACCTATTCGATTCAGACGTCACGCTCATCTTCTTCAACTTCTATACTCATTTCTTTTCAATCCGAAAACCCCTTCTTATCTCAAAAATCACTTCAAATTCTTAGGTCCTTCTAACTATATGTTACGCTCTTCTAATAGATGTTTATTGGAAATTCCATCCCACACTTCATCCTTCTTAGGCAATTCATTTACGTGCTCCGCCATTAAGTTATGGAATACGCTGCCTGACTCCGTACGATTGGCTACCTCTCTGTCATCTTTTAAAACTCTTCTGTATAATCATTTCTTAACCTTATCCTATCCTGATCAATCGTGACTTGTATAATTCTTATGTTTCCTTTTACATCACTATTCGCTGTTCATGTATTTGTATGATTAGCTTTTAAGTTTTTAGTGTGTTATTAATTTTTTTTGTATTACTTTATATTAAGGTACTATATATATATTATTTATATAACATTTGGTTCTGCACCTCTCGCACGCATCATGTTTCTTTTTTTTTTTTAGTTTTTCTCTTTAACTAGGGTTGCCTGGAAGAGATCGCTTATTAGCGATAAGGCCGCCCGTTGCATTCCTTATATTTTTATGTATTGTGTTTCTTTTTTTTTAGCAACGAAGTGTAAATAAATAAATAAAATACCTATACATTAATTCTTCCCTCCCTATAACGAAACTTCTCTATAACGAATAAAAATGCTCGGTCCCTTAAAATTCGTTGTAAAGAGTTGAGTAATTAGATAACTAAAATTCCAGGTTATCATCAGCCCGTCATGACCCATACAATGAGGATATGCGAGTTGAATTATCGCCGTATGATCTCCAGTTCCAGATGTTTAAAATATTGTCCATTGAAACTGAAGAAGAAAATGGTATGTATATAAAAACTTTAGCGATTAAAATATTCCAAAATCTGGTCAGGTCTGAGACTCAAATAAAGGGTGGTGGAGTCACAGTATTATAAAAACATAAATTTAACAGCTGTCTTGCGATTCTGTAACTCACTTTTCGAACTCTCACAGCGGTTTTCGCATCGGCGGTCGCGCTCAAATCAGTCGTGAAGCAGTCATTTTACGATTTGGCATTCTGATAAGGAGGGAGCTTGTAGTTTATTGTTTATCAGAATGCCAAATCGTAAAATGACTGCTTCACGACTGATTTGAGCGCGACCGCCGCTGCGAAAATCGCTGTGAGCGTTCGAAAAGTGAGTTACAGAATCGCAAGGCTGAAGTTAATTTTATGGCTGCGTTGGAAAAATGTAGCTTTTAAGTAAGCAATGGGTTATTTGACAAGATTTTAAAAACCATTGCAGATTTATAAGTGAATAGAATATATCAGAACGTTATTTTAAATTTATAAATTTAAATTAAATTTACATATTTTTAAGAACCAAAACGATTCTCGCACCAGTACCTACGACGTACCATGCTTGTAAATATGTAAACTAGGTTAATTAGGGGTAAATTTATCATTCTTAAATTGCACAAATAAACATATATTATATGACGTCACTCAATTTTAGTTTACTTTTAATTTGTAGAGTTCATCGGAATTAACCAATAAACTATTCGACAGTATGAAAAATAAAGTATTTCAAGTGAAATTTGTATAAAATATGGCTTTAAAATGTGTTATCTAGTAAAATAACTTGTTATAAATCATGAATTTATTCAAAAATCCATAGTAAAAAATATTGTTTTTTTATACGTCTCAGTCACGTGACAGGTGACGTGGTATGCTTCTAATTTATATCTATCTATCTAATCCTACTGTCTTGAGTTAATTTTTCTGAGCGACTGATACGTGTAATTGTGTAATTTAAGAATGATAATTAACCCGTAAATAGCTTCTTTTTACATGTTTGCAGGCACTTTACAGAATGGGTTCTGGTGCGTCGCCATCTTATGTAGATAAGGGTTTTGGTGTGTTCCTAAAGTCATGAGTGTTTAATTTAAATTTTTAAGACAATACACATAATAAAAAAAAAACGACGGCTTGCACTCCGGGAGTGCCGGCAGAAGTGAAAACTTGAATATTAACGTTGTGCATTTTTGATATTTTGGAATGGTTAGGGAATAATTTTGCACGAATTGCTTTAATTATCAGTATAAAAGTACTATCATTTATGTGGTAGAATACAATATTTATTTATTGCGCTATCGTACACAAACATGAAAATTTATATTACATTAAATACGCCGCGCCAGCTGTCTACTCTCCATCCGTCGTCAGTCTGACCAAATCGTTAATAATGAAGCTTTAGACTTTTCGCAAAATTAAACCTTTATGTATTGACTTAAAGTCCAATTCCACATGCATCAATGTATCTGAGGAAAGAGACAAATGAATTAAAACCGTAACTACATAGCACGAAGGTTCATAATCCTTTAAAAAAACATCCGTCTTACGAATTTGTCCTGACGCGAGTTTAACAGTTTTTACCCATTCCAAAAAAAAAGTGTACAACGCCGCTAAAGAAGTTTTCACTTCCAAAATGACAATCTGAAATGATTATTAAAATCTTGTTAAATATTTCGGAACACATTTCATAGATAAGGTATATAAAACCTTACTTGAATATTTTTGTTTTAATTTCAGAGTACAAGCAGAACAAAGACTGTCCTCCCCTCACTGGTATAGAAACATTCTCGTTCGGTATGGAGGTGAAATGGCCGGTTTCACTCATAATTAACCACAAAGCCATCGCCTGCTATCAGATGATATTCAGACATCTCTTCTTCTGCAAACACGTGGAAAGACTGCTCTGTCGGTAAGTTTATCTATCAAATAGCCTGTTTCTTAAGTTTAGAACATATGAACATGCGAACAAGGCTGTGACCATGCACGTATTCAAGTCCGTAAAAACGCGCCGTAACATTTTTCTGTACCCAAGTATAGTAAAACGTTTCGTGGCCACTTAGTGACTCTTTATACCTAAAAGTCCCATTATTTGGTGTAAAGTACTGGAAAGTAATATTAACAATAACACGTAATTTAATCCCCACATCATAACGTTTTACAAAAGGAAATTCGTTACGTAATACTTGAATGCTCCCCAAGTAAAAAGTTATATAGTTGCAATATTCAAATACTTTACAATTATAACTGCAAAAAATTGTAATTACATTATTTGTTTTGTATGCACTACTTGCCTTAAATCAATCAGACGTAGAGATGTATCTGCCCCATATCGTCACTTTAAAAAATAAAATAAAAAAAATAAAATATGTTTATTATGGAACATAAGATACATGTATCACTTATTCCACGTCATTAAATTTGAAGGCATCCCTACTCATCGGCAAAGAAGACAGAGGGTGTAGGCCGAGAGAAAAAGCCGGCGTAAAAAACTCTCGGTACTCTTTTAAAACAGCAAATCAACAAATGATATTCCAGAGTGTGGCTGTACAACAAAGTGGTGAAGAGATTCTCAGAAGCCCGTTTGTACGCGGACGCGTTCGCTCTTCGCCAGCGTATGTTGAGTTGCGTACAACACTTGCAATACTACATGTGCATGGAAGTTATCGAGCCATCCTGGTGTCATCTTATTCAGAGCCTGGATAATGTGAGTATTATATTATTTATTTATTTATTGAATTAAAACGGCAGGCCATCATATAACTTTTGCAACCCCCAGGTGACTATTGTTGTTTATTCGATAGATATTACTGGATATAAAAAATAACTTAAAATTTTGGGTTAAAAAGTTGCTACAATTAATATTCTAGGTTTTTTATTTTTGAATGCAAATTCAATGCATGCAATTGCGTTTTTACAAAAAACTCCCAAGCGAAATTAGAGAATTATCGCTAAATAAATTCAAAGCCCTCGTTAAACGTAAAATAATCAATAAAGCTTTTTATAAATTTGACGAATACTTACATAATATGATCCTTCAAACAAATCCGTTACTTAAATGATCCTTCAAACAATTTGTATGACTTAATACTTGGCGATTAAAAAGAGTGGCGTAAAGTTTCTTGCCAGTTCTTCTTACCCGCTCTACGCCCTTGACTTGCGAACTGGTAGTAAATGTAAATTTACAATTAATTTAACTTCTTTTTGCCGATTCATAAGTGTACTTGTTTACCTATATGAACAAAGATATTTTGAGTTTGAGTTTATAAAACTATATCAAATCAGCGGATTTAAATGTAAGTACGTACGTATGTAATACGTATACGTATGTTTCTAAAAATGATTAAGTGTTATAAAAGGGTAATTGCCATATAGTCATTATTAATCTCGTTGTATTTATTAAATGAATATGTACGTATAATATTTTTGTAGGAAAAAAAACTACTGGTCGTTCAATCAATGTTAAACCAGAGCCAGAATGTCTAAAAGTTACAATCGAATATGTGATTTTTTTAATTTAAAAATTAACGCACAAACGTATACGTGAAATATTCATTTGGGGCGTTGAAATATTTCTAATACAAATAATTCACGTTAGTAGTTTGCCTTATGAATAGCATTGGAAATCTTTATGGTCATGTAATTTAATTTGAAATACGACCACAGCACTGTTAAAATTTTCTGTACTAAAATTATATATATTGCTGACTCTTAGTAACTAGAATACTTTAACGCGATTTATCCGTTACTGCTCGTCGACTTCGTTTATTATTTCGTGTTCATTTTGAAGTACCTCCATAGCAATCTTCCGTTTAAGGCAGAAAACATTAAAACAATTACGTAAATATAACGAACATACGTTTTGTATTACGTATTGAAACTACAAATTTAGTGCATAATTAATTGTTGTAAAGGCTTTTTAGAGGGAGAAAGAACCTTGCTCTAAGTCTTTATTTATCTATCTTCGCTTTTAGTTTACTACTTGCCTTGCCTTTTTAAAATAGCCTATCTATCTTTTCTCGCTTGTTTATGTTCAATAATTTAGTTTGATAATATATAAATAATTTAAACACAACACTGTTAAAAAGAAAATTTATTTTTAGCGGTTAATATCTAAAAAAGGCAGCATATTTTAACATAGCAATAAATATGTAATAAGTTACGAAATAGTTTCTGTTACAATTAATACTTATTTTCTAAATTTTGCAAAACTTTCTTCAGTGTGCTTTCAATGCTCTCGATTTTCCTTTCACAATGGGATAGTTTGTCTTTAATTTCGTCGAATTCTGAGATGTACGTCTTTTTACCGATGACAACTTTTGCATTTTTCACAATTTTTCTGTCTAATCTATTCGCCTGACACCGCTCGAAACAACACTTTCCGCCTTCTATATCTTCATAATCATCCCCATATTTACCAGGTTCAGGATGTGGAATGTCAAATCTGTTATCTTGGTTTGGTTTCACGATTATCCTGTATTTCGGCAGGAAATGCGGGAATAAACTAATTCTTGTGGCAAATGGTTTCATACATAATGTCTTCGGGGTTATAAACTGAAGGTCTTGAATATATTGAGGGAACCAAGACCAGCATCGCATTGGCTTTGTATATGATTTACCTATCAAGACGCTTTCGAAGTAGGATATCAGCTTTACCCGAGATATATGCCCGACTAATTCAGCGTCGGCTCTTATCTCTTGTGTATCGCTGACTGCTAGACCATTTAACAGATTAAACAGTACAATGGGTATCATGAAAACGAAAACTATAAAGATTATGTGACTTGTAATTGGGAATGTACTGAATTTGATTGAGCTGGCATCGAATTCGCCCGTTAACATGACGATTGTCTTAAATAAGGAACTGCCTGGATCCTTGAAAAAGTCTTCTTCCTCATCTTCTGGGGCTGGGTTAGGATTTGGAGCTGTTTGTTCTTCATCTTTTACGTCCTCTCTAAATAATGAGTAAAAACTCAAAGCAAATGCGATGATTAGGATGCAGTACCAGAGTAGGAATTTGAAAAAGTTCCAGGAAACGGTTTTTAACATTACGATGTACGTGGATAAGGTTGGGAATTGGCCAATTAGAAGAACAAATTCAGCAGATGACAATAATATGGCTACAGCAGATAGCTGTTGTTTCGTTGATTCCGGGGCTGAATCATAGCATACTATCCAGGCAGTTACGAAAATGAGAGCAATTTCCATCCAATTTTCAATGCTCTGAAGGTACCGAGTTGGTGATACCAGTAACTGGAATAATTCTCGAAATATTAAAAGAATTAGTCCAATGCTAGTACCGATATGAGTTAGAATATTTAAAGTTTCGATGGATTTTGGTTGTTGTCTATCAACTCCATAGCCAAAAATAATGTAGAGCATCAAGCATAACCACAACAGGAAATAAAATGTAATGTTAGCATAGAAAAGACAGCTAATTCGTTGCCATTTTAAATACAAGAAGCTTGTTATGACAGGATGTTTTAATAACGGTCGGAGCTCTTCATTTCTGGTCATATATAGAAGTGCCTCCGTTTCTGGAGCTAAAATAGCATCAAACTCTTTATCAACATTATTGTTAGATTTGTCCATCAAAGGAATTTTAGATAATTCATTTTCCAATGAGTTATTGGGATAAACGAGAAAGCTATATTTGATATGTATTTCATAATCGTCATCGCTTGGTCGCTCACCGTTAGTTGTAATACATTCGTCCAAATATGTTTCGAGTGTTTTAGCGCTGATGTCTGCTAATGGCGGTTCGTCAAATTTATTTCTCAGCCCTATACATGCACCATTGCGTAATAAGTCAAGGACTGTGTCTGGATCGCCGTTCCTCGCTGCGTAATGTAAAGCTGTGTTATCTTTCACATCTTTGTGGTTAACATCAGTATTGATTTTGGGATTTTTCAATAGCATATCCAAACAACTTTGGAAATCGATTTGATGGCTCTTTGATCCCGTTCGCATGCCTTTTATTGTTATTTGTAATAGAGACTCACTATTGACGGAATCAAATAAAGTTGATTCGTGATCAATAAACATTTTCAGTATACGGCTGTATCCGTTTTGACAAGCTATAGCTACAGGGCGAACTGAGTTCCCTGAACAAGTTGCGTTGGGATCAGCGCCATTGTTTAACAAATTCAACACTACCTTTTCGAAACCTTTATCGGTCGCCTGTTGCAGTAAAGTATTCATACCGTTGTTGGCTGATAAAACTGTTCGATGCTCATTCTTTTTAACAAGTCGGTTAAAGTCCCGTATAAAATTATCTTCCTCGTGTCTGCTAAGATAAGAAAATAGTTTGTCAGCATCAACAATTTCAGCAGTTTCAGAGTTAGAATCAAATCTTGCGACAAGATGTGGAAATGCTTCTTGCAGGTAATAACGAGCCGTCTTCCCTCTGATATCTTTGTAGGAATCTAAGTTAACTGGGTCCTTTGAATAGTCTAAGATATACGTTATTACCCTCTCAAGACCTTGCTTCGCTGCAGAGTATACAGGTGTAACCCCTCGTTGATCTGGTGCGTTTGCATTACAGCCCGCTTTCACTAATAGTTCAACCATATCTTCATACACTGCCAATTCGCGTTCGCGGTCATCATCTAAATCTTGTATTTGTTTAATAGCCATAAGGAGTGCTGTATTTCCTTTACATTTTACGTTAACATCGATTCTATCATCTTCCAAGAGTAGAGCCAATGCGTCGATGTTTCCAGTTTCAACAGCAAAATGTATCGGAGCTGCTCCATGCGTTTCGTTTATGTTGTTAACTTGGACCTCGTGTTGTAATAGAAGTTTAACAAAATCCTTTTTGTTGGGCTCAGAAATTGCAAGCTCGAGGCAGGTTTTATAATCAGGATATGGGTATACGTATTCAAGATCGACAGCGCCATAGCCGACTAACTTTTTAAAGGTCGCATAGTCGTTGGTCCGTAGGGCTGTTCTCAGTTGCGTTTGGGGGTCGCCACCAAATAGAGATCCGCCACGGGATAGTCTGTTATTCATCTCGTAGTTGTCGCGTGTCATGACTCAATAGCGGGCATCTGGAAATAGAAAATATTAATTAGGTCAACCCATCGAATTAATTGAAGTTTTGGTCAAAATTGTTTACGTTATTATTCAATTAATGTCAATTATCAATTTAAAAGGTCTAACTATTGGTTTGTAAAGGGATAAATGTTTCATTTCCTCAACTCTGTTTGAAGAGTTCATGTACATTTGATTAGGCTAACTGCTTGTGTAAACGGACGTGGGAATCAATATTTCACGGCTAATCTCTTTAAGCTAAGTTTAAGCGATTTGAAAGGTTTCGAAAAACCGTAGATAAAAGAAAATGGGTTATTGAATAAATATATCAGTGGCGCTACAACTTTTTTATGTCTAGGCCTGAGATTTCTGTGTCTGTTTCATGATCATTTGTTATTCTAATAGGCAAGTAGGTGATCAGCCTCCTGTGCCTGACGCACGCCGTTGACTTTTTGGGTCTAAGGCAAGCCGGTTTCCTCACGTTGCTTTCCTTCACCGTTCGAGCGAATGTTAATTGCGCACATAGAAAGGAAGTCCATTGGTGTGCACAGCCAGGGATCGAACCTGCGACCTCAGGATGAGAATCGCACACTGAAGCCACTAGGCCAACACTGGTCTATCGGTTGTTATTTTACTTTCTTTCTTACAAGTTTTAAAATCACTTATTAAATATAGTTTGTTAGTGGAAACAGAACAATTAACAGTTCCGCCGTTGTGATTAAATCATACATTTTAATGAGCATAGTCAGAGGAAAGCAGTAATGAAGGGGCAATTATTCAGAAATTCTTTATCGCACGCGCCGCTCTATGGGAGGCGAGCAATTATTTTGATTTGCACTTTTTATACGTGCTTTAATTTGATACTAAAATTAAGTCTTACGAAATAAAGCAATTGGACCTCAGTATTAGGTCAAATTCAATAAAGACGGCTATTTTCGGATTTTTTCGTTAATTTAATTTAGCAATAGGTTTAGATATCTTATGTGGAATACTGTTTTTTGATGTGAATGGTGGAATGTGTGTAACATTTGCTTGTGCGGTGAAGGAAAACATCGCGAGGAAACTGGCTTGTCTTAAACCAAAAGAAAGTTATCAACCAAACAGAGAAGGTGTCTATACCCTATTATTTAGCATATAGCTATTATAATTAAAACTATTATACATATAGGTTCGCTTATGCCTTCAATAAGATAAAGATTTTTGACATCACTTGACGTGAATAGACATACCAAAACCTTTTATAGAACTAACTTACGAAACGAAATATATCTCTTATTCATAAAAACAACATACTCGTACAGTGTATGTAGTATTACATGTTGGTAGATATTAAAATTATTATTTGTACGTGCCAAAATGGCGGATGTACCAATTTCAGCCGCCGGCCAAGAAAAGTATGTGGCACTTTATTTCTCTTTTACTTCAAAAAACAATAAAGTAAAGTAAAGTAAAAAATCATGTAATCACATAGGTAACATAATGTACACTTATGACTTGTCAGTAAAGAAATACATATTTATGCTTCTAATTTTACATTTACTGCCAGTTCTCAAATCAAGGGCGTAGAACGGGACAGAAGAACTGGCAATAAACTCTCCGCCACTCTTTTTAATCGCCATTTTTTGTTTTACAAAATGTTTGTAAGGAGCTGCAACCATTACACCATGTCCCATGTGACATTTTAAGTAATTAGTAATAATAACAAATTAAAAACAAAGATTTGTCCTCTATCAGCAGAAGCAATTTGACCGTAGGCGACGAAAGAACTACTTAAACGAATACAATTAGACTGATTAAGTTTTATGAATAAGGTTACCTGGTTAATAAATTAAATTATAAGCCTTTATTCCGAAAAGCGCGTTCCGATTTCGTTATGAATATAAAATAACCCGCACCATGTTTTTTCATGGTCGTGACACACGGCCTCACGACGCATTGTTTTAATTAAACAACATCCTCTGAAGGTGTATTCGTATGTTCTATATAATAATAATACATAATATTAACCAACTGCAAGAATCACCCGCAAACTTCTACAAGATAGTAGATAGATTACTTATGAAAAAACTGTTACCAAACATAATAATAATAAATATATACTTATAAAACCACTTCCAATTGAAAAAATTATGAGTGGCGTAGTCTGTTTACCGATAGTTTTATAGGCCATATAACGTAATGCTACGTTTTAATGCAGGAGAGATAGTAGATAACAAAAAATATATTTGAGTCTTACGGCCGTAAGTACGGTGCACAATTGAGACTGCGTTATGACTTTTGTATGTCAGAATCCAATACATTTTTGATGTAGGGAAGTCAGACTTAGCGTTTCTGAATACCCCAAGTCTCGTAAAACGCATTCTTTTGACTTTAAATTTTACTCTGCAATCATCTCATTACCTGTTACAAGCTACTTAACTTCGTATATATTTAAGTTTACTAAAGATACATTTCAAATCTAGACTAGGTTCAATGCCCTTTACAGTCATTAACTAATTGTACTAAATTGCACCACATGATATTATTATACAAATAATTTAATAGAAGCATTCCAGAGTTTTCCTCTCCCTCCGGACCGCGGAAGCGCTTGGACGTGTCCACTGTGTTGAGTTTTGTGAGAAATTTAAATTTAAAATCTTAAATTAAAATACTAAATTGAACTATTTGGATTTTTGTGGTTTTGAACCCGTGCCTCTTCGTGGATAGGCTGTGTGGTGGGCGCTGTTGTTTGCCATTACACCAAACGGTTGAGTGCCGGCGAGTCGAAATTCTACATCACATTTGGCTAATGACGTAAGTAAGACTACGACGCTTGTGATTTGCTACGTTACTACATAGCTGTTATACCTGCTACGATCAACTGGTGCGATTGTCTATTGTTGCTTTGCGATATTGAACTCTGGGTTCATTGAAGATATGCCCAATATCCAACACTCACCCCCTCGTAACACTTCTGTGATGTCTTGTTCCCGATCGGAGTCTGATCTTTCGAAGTCTCCGATGACGAGTGCGGGCTGTATTGCCAAGGGTGACACCAATATAACAACGCGCTCCAAGCGACAACGAATGGAGACCTCTTCCCCGAATGCTCATTCTAGTTCCGAAAGTAGCGACTTAAGAGCGGATGTCCTGAAAATGCTTTCTGAATGGAGAGAGGATCAAGAACGAAACCTATGTGAATGGAAGTCCACTCTAAATGACACCTTAAACAAATTATTTTCTGAATTATCCAATATAAAAACTGAATTCCAGGAAATAAAGAAGTCTAACTCAGAAATAGAAAAAGGAATAGAATTTATAAACAAGCTTCAGGAGGAGACCAATGACAGAGTAAAGGAAATTGAAACTAACCAAAAAAATAATAAAAATGCCATAAAAAACTTAGAATCGCATATCCAGGATATACAGTTTCGTACAAGAGATGCATCTCTGGAGATCCGCAATATCCCGATTTCTGAAAATGAAAAGTTTGACAACTTACTCTCGACCCTTTCTGTCATCGGCAAAGCTGTGGATGTCGATATAAATAGGAGTGATGTACGTGACTTGTATCGGCTGCCGGGTAGACCGGGAGTATCAAGACCTGTTGTTGTTGAATTTACGAGTGTTAATGCTAAAAATGATTTATTGACTAAGCTGCGAAACTTTAACAAAGGAAGGCCGGTTTCTGAGAAGCTAAATACTCATACTATCGGGTTGCCAGGAATAAAGACTCCACTTTACATTGACGAACATCTAGGTCCATCTCAAAGAAAACTTATGTTTGAAACCCGTCAATTTGCCAAGAAACATAACTACTCGTGCTGGCATTCAAATGGAAGAATACTTTTGCGTAAGGATTCGACTGGTAGACCGATTTTAATCCAATCAGAAAAATGCTTATCTCAGCTGGCAAAGGAATCATGACTCATTGCATGTAACTGCTTTCTCATTAACCTATATTGCCAATTAACTGTATATTGTTATTTATTTCTATTGATTTACTTTAGTCTTGCTAGTAATAAAATTACCTTAGTCAATTTTTTCATGTTAAGTTCTCGTTTAGTCTATAATGTATTTTCGTTTGAATTTGTATTTGCTCTTGCACTTATTTTAACCTATACTCACACACTCACTGAAATTATACACCACTTACACTCAATATATACAAAGTGTACTCATAGAAAGAATGTAACTGTTAACAACAATCTCTGTCTGTCTTCGTGCCGTGTGTATGTGTATTGTGTTGGTCTCATTTGTGTGGCGTTGTCCCCGGGATTGTGGAATCCTCGTAGGGTTGTGCTGTACCGCGTGCCTTTTTGTCTTACCATAGTTGCGGACTCAATAAATAAAATTCGATAAAACTAATGCAATTATAAATGATATCGATAAACTTGATGTTGCACAATCTTCTCTTTGTGACATAGAGGACTGCCGGAGACTTATGAACTGCCCGAATAAGTGTCTAAAAATTATCCATCAAAACATTCGTAGTATAAATCGTAACTTCTCTGATTTTCAAACCTTATTGTTTAGATCCAGGACTGATTGGGACTTAATAATCTTAACGGAATGCTGGCTGCATAATAATCGTAACTTACCATCTCTTGAGGGATACAACTCTGCTCTAACCGAGAAAAACTTCACACAGAATGAAGGAGTTGTAGTATTTTACAAAGAACATTTGAAATTAGTTATATCCGAGCCTGACCTTTGTGATGCCAACTGTTTACTGATTAACCTTGAGGATAATGTAACACTAATTGCAGTATATAGACCACCTGGTTACAAAGATGTTCAACGGTTTTTGGTATCTCTTGACAAACTTCTTTCTGAGATTAGTAGTACTCATAAAGTTCTGATAGGTGATATCAATATTGATATATTGGATAACAATAAGGATGTTAACTCTTCAACGTATTTGAATATGTTGGCTTCTCATGGTTTATTGCCAGCCCACTTATTTCCAACTCATGGCAGGACTTGTCTTGACCATGTAATACTAAAATGTTCTTATCGCG